ATAAGTGGCTGGGACGATGGATGGATATATATACAGATACACATACCACCCGACAGGTGAGACGAGGATTTTATATATATATATATATATATATATGGATGACTGTGAATGGCTCTCAGTCAACCATCGTGCTTTGATCGCTGAGGCGACATTTGCTTAACCAACTGGAACAATTAATAAGATATGATATGTCATTTATGGTAACTTCATGTCATTCCAGCAGACAGCGAGTATATTTTAAAGAGCTCGATGCTATCAATGTTATCATTATGCAACCGGGCGAGAGACTGGAAGTTAGCACACCATCAAACTGGAAATACAGAAATTGTGCATGCATAGGGTCAGTTTGAGAGAATTTGAGTTTTTGTCATGCGGAAGTACACGCGACGTCATAGTGGAAAGGTCTATATACTTGAATATATACAGTCAATCCATGTGCAATTTCAAAGGTAATATATAGTGAGAAGACATTAATTGGTTGCTGAACGGCCTGAAGGGTTTTACTCACTCTTGTGAGATCATTTTAAGCTTGGCAGGAGGTGATCATGGCAGCAAAGCAGACTGCACTGCAACCCAATATGAGCATTTAAGAGGCCTGTACAAGAAGGGACTCCAGGGTGATATTGTAAAAGATTGTCACGACTGCCAGCCATCCCATCTGCTACGTCCACACTATACATGGCTTAACGATTGCCGAAGCCATTCCGCGAGTCGCTCCCTGCTACAAACGCCATAACGAGGGTGACCGGAGACGGTGTGCGGACTCCTACCTGAGCTGTCCATGGTGCTGCAGTCTTCCTCTTTCCCGGGGCCGACCTTCGGTCCGTGGAGAGCAGCTACCGGGCCTGCGAGTGTGCTGCCTCCCCCTCCTCTGCCGGCACTGAAGCTATCTCTGCCACTATCGACCAACTGCAAAGATTCATAGCCATCATAAGTGCTCTTTTTCTTATAAGCGCCCAGCAAGCTCATCACCAAAATAAGTGAAATAAAGATTTCCGCTCCCACCTCCCCCCACCTACTAAAAAAAAAGGATTAAAATAATGAGCTATTTTGAAGGAGCCCCAACGACGGGGTGGCTGTGCCGTGTCTTCCACAGCCGCCGATGCTAGTGCTTGCTACCGCTACATGCAGCACATGTCCGGAGAGCGGAGTATACGGACGGTCTCACTGATGTCTGGGGGAGGTGCGCTCTCTCGCAGATTCTCTCGCTCGCTCTCTGTCTTCCTCTCTCCCTCCCTCCCTCTCTCTCTGTAGCTCAGTTTCAGTGCCGCAGTGTTGTACAGTCGTGTACGATTGGTGCCGAGTCAGGGGCGTAGAGCCAGGAGCACAGCAAGTAATGTGCCACCTAACTCATGTAGCTCTTCCCATGTCTAATCTTAAATTCCTTCCTCCAACCCCGGCAAATGCAAGTAATTCAAGGTACACGTATAATACTATCAGACTATACTGTACATTAAGCAGGGTGTTCTTACATACAGTGTGTAATCTGTATTGAATGCTCATTAATAAAAATGTATGTTTGTATCCAGGGATTTGCTGGAGGCCGTGATTCCGAGGACCGGCCAGGAAATACAGCAGCTGTTCGGGAAAATATTTTCCCCAAATCACTGATGGCCACCCCGCCCCTGTTTGTATCCAAATATTTATTCAACATACCGGTAGTTTATTTTTTTTTATAGATTTTTTAATATATTTCCTATACTATCACAGTTCTTTTATTCATTGTGTAAAAATTTTGCAACCGGCCTTTACTGCCCTACCTACACCACTGGGTCAACATAAAAGAAAGGACCCAACACTCCTGTTGACCTTTATTTTAGAGCTGCTTTTTTGGTTACATTTCTATCGCATGTGTATTTTTTTTTTACCCCCATGTAACCAACATCCATCACTGAATGCAAAGAATACAGTATTGCTATAGTCCATTCATCCATTTTCTATTCCACTGATCCAATTTACGATCAGCTGAATGGAACTGACTCAGAACAAGTACGATTGTTGGAGAGCACATATCCACCTTATTCCAGAGGGCTGTAACGATTATTAGTTTTGGTAACAGATTTCTGGTAAAATTCTGATTCAGTGGGTTTCATTTGGCGGAGCAGTTTATTTTAGTTTTTTTTCACTCCCTTTTCTAAGTGACCATGAGTCCCCATTGCATTGAAAAATGTCTTGCATGGCTTGGGTACTTGTTGCACTGTTGGCGGCTGTACTAACAAGCAGAAGAAGTTGAATCTGTAACCACAAGAGCATTGTTTTGAACTGGCACTCTGTACAAGGACAAGAGAATTTTCTTGTGATAAATGCTAATTTCTAGCACCTTTCCCAGGATGAGGATCACAGAAAAAAAAATTGACTGAGAGTCTGCACTTGAAAAGACCACCACCTCAATGTTGTACCTGTGCTCCTTTTCATTTTAAATATTTGCAGTGGGAGATTGAAGTACTTTTTAGAGATCTTCACATAAACTTTGAAGATTGACAGAGTGATAACATCGAGCAACATGAATGAAGCTTGTTTACAGTGAGGGTTACGGTCATGTGGTTACCATGCAGTGGGAAATAGTAGGTTTGGCTCGGTCCTAAGTCTGCCTGAAACTAAATAAGACGGTGTCCGACCTCTTTTAAAAAATGCGACCAACTTTATTACTGTTTTATTATAGGATTGCCTCAGAGCCTTTGCTCATTGCGTCACATCCGAAGCAACAGAGTTCGGAAAGTAGTTAAACATGTGACTGTACCTTGTCACTGGCCTCTTTTTTATGTCATCCTCCTACACTGCTACATTAGCAGAAAGCGGGACTGAAATGTTTTCTCTTAGAAGATGCAACAACTGGCCTTCCCACATTGCGAAAGTCTGTAATTATAATAGAAACTGAACTCACACAAACAGTTTCCATGTAAACAAAGTGCCTGTTTCACTATACTGGAAGCCGCGCACCTACTTAACGCAAAGGCTTATGCGGCGTAGAATATAGTGGAGAGGGACAGACAACCATTCACTCTCACATTCACACCATCACCGACTGAAAATTGAACCCACGCCTTCTGTACCAAAGTCATGTGAATACACTTCTACGGCATTAGAGACTATAGTCGACAGGTGTCAAAGTCAACGCCCGGGGGCCAAATCTGGCCCACCACATCATTTTATGTGGCCTGCGAAAGCAAATCATGTGTGTCAACTGCCATGATCCTTGCTTAAACCTGCACCGAAATCTCAAATTGTCATACATAATAATAAACTAACGGTGACATTTTGCAAAGATTCTGTTGCCCTGTTTTTACTCATTTGACCAATAATTGAACAAATAACTGCCTGATTTCAAAACTAGTGAGCCATCCTTTTTTTGTGTACAAGTAATAATACGATGTGTTGATAAAACATTTATTCGGTTACACTGTCTTAATTGCCCTCCAAGGGAAGACATAACTCCAAAGTGTCCCGCGACAAAAATGAGTTTGACACTGCTGCTATAGTCCATTCATTCACAACATTTGTCCTCACATAGGTGGGCTGGAATCCTATCCCAGCTAACTTGAGGTGAGAGATGGGGTCCAGCCTGAACTGGTCGCCAACCAATCAGAGGGTACATATCGACAACCACTAACACTTCCATAAACACTTGTGGACAATTTAGAATCAGCAATTAGCCAAATAATGTTTTGAGAATGTGAGTGGAAGCCAGGGTACCAGGGGAAAACCCACACAAACACTGGGAGAACATGCAAACTGCACACAGAAAGGCCAGAGCCAAAATTTGAACCCCCGACCCTGGAATTATGATGCAATAGGCCACTGTTCTGCCTACCATCAGAGCATCCATCCATCCATCATCTGAGCCGCTTGATCCTGACGAGGGTTGCGGGCATGCCGGAGCCTATCCTAGCCATCTTCGGACAGTAGGCGGGGTACACACTGAAGTGGTTGCCAGCCAATCGCAGGGCACACATAGACATACAACCATTCACGCTCACAATCACACCTAGGGATAATTTGGAGCTTTTAATCAACCGACCATGCATGTTTTTGGAATGTGGGAGGAAACCTGAAGAAAACCCACGCAGGCACAGGGAGAACATGCAAACTCCACACAGAAAGGCCATGGCCCGGAATCGAACCCCGGACCTCGACAATGCGCGGCGGGCGTGTTAACCAGTGGACCACTGTAGTATACATAATGATAAAATAGAATTATAAATGACAGCTTGCAGGGATCACTGTGACCATGTTGAGTGCTAAAGTGAAGTAAAAGTAAGTACAGTCTGAGACAAGGTAATACACAAAAGCACAGAAGGTAACACTATTGCCTTTCAGCTAAGACTGTTGCACACTACAATTATTAAAGAACTCCAGTACTGTATACATTTCTCATGTAAAATTACCTTTCTTTGATGGAAGGTGTCAGTTTCATTATTAACCATTTACTAAGACAAATGGCTGAAAGTGTGCTGTGGAGAAAAGTCAGCGGATTTCGGTCAGTCAGGCATCACCAAGAAAAAAGTAGAAACACTGAATGCTAAATATAATGTCAAAGTAGCTCTCGGTTGTCATTTTTCGAATGCGATTTGATTTCAAATTTTGTGTCATGACCTTGAGTCCATACAGAGAAGAGCACTGACCAATGGTGGAATGTTTCCTTCTTTTGCCTTGTCCCCTGGCAACACTTTCATGGTGCTGAAAAGAGAACATGAGCCTGGGAAACTCTTTCTCAAGCAGGCGGAAGCACAGAGCACAGCGGGAACAAACTGTCCAAAAGGGAGGGAATGATATCCCTCCATTGCCGGACTCAATGCACTACCGCTCCATTGTTGATGCAGTTTCCAGTCTCATTCCTTACCAAGGCGGCCTTTAAGTAAACATGTAGAATCTACATGAAAGAACAGCACCTGTCAACCTTATCATAATCCCTGTTACGTTATTGCTAGGTCACACAGTATTATTATTGCAAATAAAGTTTTACGCAAATGAGCCAAACAGTATCTCGAACCATTTAACATCGCAAAATGTTAAATGTGTCAGTTGAATTATGTAATACTGGGTAAGACTTGGCCCACCTTTTAATGTGGTGCTATCATGAACATGTAGTATAATCAAAATGTTGCTTATGAGTACCAACCTTTAGATTCAACTGCAAAGACAAAAGAAAAATTTAGCACATCATGTTTGTCTTTGTCATGAACAGGATACGTCCTTGATCATGGAGGATGAAAAACAGACTGGTGGTGACATTTGGATTATGTGGTGTGGTTCTACTGATGCCGCAGTGAAGCAAACAATAAAAATTCATTCATGTTTTCATCTTTAGCCATATACCAAAAAAATGTCTTTTTCCTTGACTTATGGTCAACCTCGCTACAAAATGTATATTGGCATCGACCCATTTAAAAAATCCGATGGCCGAATAAGAGATTAATTTAAAACGGGGTTATTTTGTTTCACGTCCTAAGTTTTTGTTTTCCCATACTATTTTAACTTCACACGTTTTCATCGATTCAGATTTTTCTGATTTTGAAAGACAATGCTGATTTTTTAACCATTTTCCTGACTTCAGTTGCGACTGAGAATTTTATTCTCAGGTTTATTTTCCAAGTAGTTTTTCCTAGTCCCAGTCAGGTTTTATCAAGTTTCTCTTTTTTGTGGTTCCTGTGTGTCCAAGCCGAAGTCTTTTCAATCTGATCTGTTTCATTATCGCATTGTTTTGTATTCATTTCCAAGCCAGTTTCCACAATTTGTCTCGTCATGTCCTCGTTCCACACCTCTCCCCTCATTCCGTGCCAATTTCCTCAACTTGTCTTTTATCACCAGTTTTGCCCAGTTTATCTTCCCTAGTTCCTGCACATACACTCTGCCTCTCTTCTTTCCCTAACCTCCATAATGGCAGGCTAATGAAGATGATGCAGACTCAGTCTTTGCGCCGCAGCAGCTCCCAGTTCCCATTCAGGTGCCACGGCAGCTCACAGTGCCCATTCACATTTTGGCACCACACCAAGTCATTGTTTTCGTTTCTGCTCTGGTACTGCGCAGAGCCGAGGCTCCCGTACCAATTCAGCCTCATGAGTCTTCAACATGCCTTGTTTGCTTGCCATTTTGTAAAATAGATTGGTAAGATTACTCCTGCTCTGCTGTTATTGCCTTCCTCATTCCATGTCCTTTGGTGCTCCACTTTTGCCCCTGAAACTCTACCATGAAAACCTGCAAACAAATCATTGAAATACAAATCACGTTGGATTTAACTTTTTAGAACCATACATTATTTGCATTACTTGATTAAAAAGTGATTGTTTTAAAAGTTCAATTTAAAGTATAATTGTCATTTACTTTATGTTAAAATATTCATCCATTTTTTCATGTACTCATCATCACGAGGGTCGCGTGCATACTGGAGCCTATCCAAGCTGTTTTAGGGTATCCTGAAGTGGTTGCCAGCCAATCGCAGATGTTAAAACATTTCCATTGACTCATTTTTATGTACAGGTTGTTGTTGTTTTTCCTGTTTGGGCGCATTGCTATTGTTCCAACAGTGCATACATAACGTTACTGTGGCTAACCATAATATTAGATGTGCTTTTTCGGAAAGTCTCATTGTTGATCCACATTTGCGCTTCCTATGCTACTGTATTCTAATGTTGATCACGGCGATGGTACTACAGTATAGGAGAGCTATTGCTAACAATGCTTCAGAATGCTTGTAATTTTTATGGCCGATTGTCATCTGTAGAGTAGCTCACTCTCGGAGGCCGCTCAGTAAACTCTGGAATATGAAACCCAAAGGGCTGCTAAGCCGCTCACGTGACGTAGCTGTGGTGACGGCACTGTGCGCCAACACAGACACTGTTCTCCTATTGCTATCTATACATTTGTAGTCTTGATTCTGGCTCGTTAAAAAAAAAAAAAAAAAAAGATTTCGACGTAAAACTGACGGGCTGCGCTAAACTGGAGACGATAAGGTGATTGAGGAATCTGAAATATGAGGCAATGGGTGGCGGCACTCACAAAATGCATAATTTGCACGTCATAGAACTGCACACAGGCTACAGCAAAAGACACCCCACGCGATGTAGGAGTGCTTATTCAATGCAAGATCCCAGGTTACAAATAAAATTAAAACGATGACACATGCAAGGTATTCGTGTTGGTATGACGTATTTGTTATGTGTTACGTAATAGCAACAACATCCGGCTTTCTCGTGTGTCCGGTTACAAAATTATGTATCCTCCATTCTTGCCTGATACAACATGCAATAATAAAACGCATGCAATATGACTTTACGTTACCTTTCAGGACGTATTTGAGCATTCTCCCGGGAGCGCAGTCCTATTGAGATGCGCTTCCACGCTTCTCGCTGTCTGTCAGCGACCTTTGCGTTGTCATCAGCTGCAAGTCAAAGGTCAACGCGTTTATTGTCCTAGTAGCTAGATAATAGATGCGTTTGCACCGGGAGGCAGCAACAGGCTACAGCAACGCGATGTGTTCGCATCCTGGTGGAGGAGCCCACAAAGCATCCAAGCTTCTTGCGGTGAATTTTTATATGTGGTTGGGTGAATTCTGTGCTAGCACACGCTACATGGATCCGCCGAACTGCGCCCCTCAGTGCATTCCGTATGCACTGCAATGACTGGAGCAACCTGGTAAAACCTGGACTGGATTTATGACGTGATCATGTGTCTCGTCTCCAATTTCAGACACCATGTTTGTACCGCCCATTCTGTACCATAATAAATAGCAAGGGAAAAGCTTGTACTTTATCAATAAACATGGTCAGCAGAAAGCTTCTTCATTCTCTGGTGAATAATGCACAGATTTCTTCCATCAGACATAATGCATGTTTTGGGTTGTTTTAAATGTCTACGTCAGAGAATATTCGACTATCCGAGTGTGGTGATGACTCTATTTTGATGAATAACTGGTTGCCAACCAATTGCATGGCACATATAGACGACAACCATTCGCACTCACAGTCACACTTTGGGACAATTTAGAGTGTTCCATTAACCTGCCATGCATTTTTTCGGAATGTGGGAGGAAACCGGAGAAAACCCACACAGGCACGGGGAGAACACGCAAACTCCACACAGGAAGGTCAGAGCTGGAATCGAACCCTGCACCTCAGCACTGTGAGGCCAATGTGCTAACTCGTCAAACACCGTGCCGCCCGTTGCTACGTCTTCAGATGCAATTTCAAATGGTGCCATACATAGCGAAAGCTATTTAACATCCAGAAACGCCACCGGCTACTCTGGGCCTGAGCTCGTGTGTGATGGACTGATTCAAAGTGGAAAAGTGTGCTGTGATCTGGAAATTGTGGACATCGTGTTTTCCGGTGTAAAGAGGAGAAGAACCACTCGGATTGTTATGGACACAAATTTCAAAAGCTAGCATCTGTGATGGCATGGGTAACTTGTACATCTGTTCCGATGCCATTAATACTGAAAATGCACACAGGAGCAAATTATACTGCCATCCAAGCAACATGTTTTTGCTTATTTCAATAAGACAATTCTAAGCCACGTTCTGCACGTTACAACTGCATGGCTTCATATTAAAAGAGTGCAAGTACCAGATTGAGATGTCAGCAGTCCAGACCTGTCTCCTATTGTAGATGTGTGGCACATTATGGAGCACACAAAATACAACAGGACACCCCTGAGCAACTGAAGCTGTACATAAAGCAAGAATGGGAAAGAATTCCAGCTACAAAGCTTCAAATATAAGTTTCCTCAGTTCTCAGATGCTTTTGAGTGTTGTTAAAAGGAAGGGTGATGTAACAACAGTGATAAACATGCCCGTGTCCCAGCTTCTATTCAATGTGTTGTAGGCATTAAATTCAAAATGATTCAACATTTGCAGA